GCGCGCGACGTCGGCCTCGTTGCCGGCCTGGCGGGCGTCTCGTTTGGCTCGTTCGCCTCTGGCGTCGGGTCTTTTGCGCTGCTGCCGACGGATCTCCTCGCGTACGGCGATGGCTTCGGGGCAGACGGCCACCCTCCGCTGGTGGAGCCGTTGCGAGACATGCCGCAGCTTGGGGTCGATGCAGCCAACCTGTTCAGAGACCTCGGCCTGGCAGCAGGCCTGGCCGCCGTCTCCTTTGGGGGAAGCTTCGCCTCTGGCGTCGGGTCCTTCGCCCGGACCGGCGCCTCTCCCTTAGTCCCTACGGATGCGGGCTTTGCGGCCTTGGACGTGGGTCTGGACGCCCCGCTTCTCGACGATCTTGGCCTCCTGCGAGAGCTGCCGGCGTTTGGAGCGCTGAAGCAGCTCGACGGCCTGCTGTCTGTCGGCGCGAGCTTCTCGTCCGCCGCCTCGTTTGGCGGCGCGGGCCTCAGCCCTTTCGACGCACTCGAGGTGCTCGGTGTGGACATGTTGCCGCCCGCTCTTGGCCGCGGCGAGCTCGGCGCGTTGCCGACTGCCGAGGACGTACTCCGCGACACCGAGGCGTTCGACTTTGGCTTGCGTGAGCTTGAGCTCGGCCGTCTCGTGGACGGACTTCAGCTCACCTCGCTCGGCGGGGGCAGCTTCGCCTCCGGCCTCTCCTTTGCTGGCGGGGGGCTGGCGGGCCGCGACGCGCTCGCCGCGCTCAACTTCGACGACCCGCTCGGCCCGCTCTTCGACCCGTTCGGCCCGCTCGGGCTGGATACGGGGCTCGGTGAGGGGCTCGACGCCGGTGCGCGGCTCGGCCAGAAGGCGGCAGCGGCCGGGCTCGCGGGGCCGCTTGCCGGCTGGCGCGGCGTTGAGGGGCTGGACAGGCTGAGCGACTTTGAGCAGCTGGAGGGCCTCGATCTGACGGACTTTGCTGCGCTCGGCCACTTGTCGATGACGTCCGCCTTCACGTCGATGACATCCTTCACGCTCGGCGGTTTGCCCCAAGACCTGCTGGCGGCCGAGCTCGACTTCGACCGGCTCACTGAAGGAGGACCCTCAGGGCGCGCTGGACCGAAGGCCGCGCTGGACGCGCTCGCCACGGGCATATTCGAGGACGGGCTGCCGACCTTGCTCGACTTCGACACGGCCGGCTGGACCGAGGCGTGGCCCGACGCGCTGCGGATGGACACGCTGCCCTCGATGGCCTCGCTCACCTCCGCCACGTCCTTCGCGGGGCTCGACCCGCGGGCGGCGGAGCTGACGGACCGACTGCTCGACTGGGAGGCCCTGGAGGAGCTGCCCGCGGCGCTGGCGGGCGGCTTCCCCGG